GATACTGCCTCGGAAACCCAAGGAGGGGTCGCTATGAGTCGGGTCCGACTCGACGGCACATAACAACAACAACATTTCTATATTAGATACTAAGACTGGGAAACTAAAAAATATTTATTTATAAATATGTTTTAAAATAATATTTAACCCATTGCATTTTAACATAAATAACACTTTTTATGAAAAAGGCTTCCCATTTAAAAAAAAGTTAAGTGAGAGGAATGGCATGATTTTAACATTTTGGCAAACTTTGTTAGTATCTAAGTAATAGAAGATGGCTAGATTCTCATAGTGCTTCTGCATTCACTGTGTTGAAGTATGTTGTTTTGGTTAAATGTATAAATAAAATTTAGCCTCAGATATGTAGTTAGAAAAGGTAAGTATTTTACTAGTCTTTTCAGATCATTGAAGCTATGTCATGTAGACTCTGGAAAATTTCCCTGTGCGCTCATGAGAGAATGCTAGTGAAAAAGGCAAAGGGTGCATTAGTAATGTTATGAACATAGTTCGGACCTCCCAGACCTCCTGACAGGGTCGCAGAAACTCCCAGGGATCCCTGGGCCACACCTGGAGAACCAATGATGTACTATCAGAAAGCAGTAGTATGTCAGGAAAGTAACATACATGTTTGCATTGCCATTAATTCATTTTGAGAATGAAAAAAAGCAAGCGTTGTCAACGTGCATAAAAATAATCTGGAGAATTTTTGGGAAAAAATCTTGAGAATCCTGATCTTCAACCAGAGAGCGATTTAGGAGGCCTGGATGGGACTGAGGAGCCCAGATGACATAGTGGTTAAAAAGCACTCTGCTGCTAAGCAAACAGTCTGCAATTTAAACCCTCGAGCACTCAGAGAAAGATGTGGCTGTCTGCTCCTGTAAAGATCTACAGCCTTGGAAACCCTGTGGCACAGTTGTACTGTGCCCTGTAGGATCACTACGAGTTAGAATTGACTAGTTGGGAGTAGGTTTGGTTGGTTTTTTTGGGGGATGGACCTGAGGGGTCTGCATTTTATTCCCAGCTGATTGTCTCCTAGGTAGTTTGGAAAGTACAGTTGAGAAACAGAGGTTTTACCGGAAAAGGGATAGAAATATCAAAGTGTTTAATATGCCCTGGAAATATTAGTCTGGGTAGGTACTGGTGGAAATTAAGCTCACAGAAAGCATGTATTTCATAACACTACCAAAGAAGACAATCTAGAAATAGAGAAAACAGAGGAGGGTGGCTGTCACCCCAAGATCACAGCAGGGTCTCCAGGTAGATTCTCCATATGGCTGAACCTCCAGGCAAATCCTTTAGGGTTCTGATGTAGGTTATCAGAGAAAAGAATGTGTTTTAAAGTAGTGAAGTGACTATTGCATGAGTGGTGGATGGAATAACAATGAAAAGGGAAGAGATTGAAAAGCACGTTGGTGGCTCTCATTTTTGTGAGTGGAGATAAAGACATGACACTACTGTCTTCCTTAGCCACATACCTGTACTTCCTTTAACTAGCTGGAGAAGTGCAGTTTTATGAACTAATTGTGCCACCTGTACTGTTTTCCTTAAGTTGATAAAGGCAGTTCTTTCTCCTTTCTGCTCTCCAGTCCAGTACACACTTATATACATGTGCATACACTGCACTCACAGGCATGTACCTGTGCTCAGGGACACATGTAGTGCACAGGGAAATCAGTTCTTTCATTGCATATCCTTTCTCTAGACACCAAGGCCTACAGCAGTCCAATGTCTGACAAAGATTTAGAAGTAGACATACCTTTCTGCTCTAGTAGGTCTTGGAGGCACAAATTTCCCCCTTTGACCTTGGCTGTAAATTGTTTATTTTGTGTCTTGGCAAAATAGTTGTTATAGTGTAAAGCAAAACAAAACAAAAACATTAATCTTGAAAATATCTGCATTATGTGATATTTCAGAAAGTAAAACTTTTTTTTTTTTTTGTCTGCCAGGGGAAAGGGTGGTTGCCTTTGCTGCTGTAGAAGGGATTTTCTTCTCTGGATCTTTTGCTGCCATATTCTGGCTAAAGAAGAGAGGTCTTATGCCTGGACTCACTTTTTCCAATGAACTCATCAGCAGAGATGAAGTAAGGAATGAAGTGTTCTTCAAGTTATTTTGTATTCGTATTTGGTGTTCATTTATTTTTCTTTCCTTTAGAAAATGCTTATGGTGACCCAAGTATCCTGGTAATGAAAACAAGAAGTCATTCCCCCCTTGGATTTTAAGACATTGTATTTTTCTCTTCTCTTATATTCCTTCTTAGTCTTCCCCACGCACCCTTAAATACCAGCACACTCCTGGACTCCCACGTCAGCCTCTCTCTCCTGTGCTGTGAATGGCCTTCTGACTGATCTCATTTATTTCCGTAGCATCGGCTGTCATCGAAATGTTCATGACTACCACATCTTATCTTCAGCCCAGACATCTTTCCAAGTTCCAAATCCATGTATTCAAATGCATTGAAGAGGTTATCTCTTGGAGGTCTCCATAGATATCTCAAACCTAATATTTCATAATTCAAACTCATCATCTTTCTCCCAGAACTTATTCTTCTGTTTTTACTATTTGATCAAATAAACCTACTTTTTATGCAGACATCTACATTTGAAACCTAGGAGTCATTTTTGGTTGCTTCTTTTCTTTTTCCAGTCACATATAATAAGTAATTAAATCTTACTTCCACATTTTTTGTTTTTTAATTTTTATTGTGATTTGTGTGAAAGTTTACAGAGCAAATTCATCTTCCATGCAGCAACTTAATACACTTTATCTCATGACATTGACTCCAGTTTCCCACAATGCAATAGTTCCCCTATAGTTACCTCTTCCCTGTCTCCTTCCCTCCCATGCACTCCTACCCCCCGAGCTGTTTGCCTGTGCATATACAGCCCTTCTGTTCTCCCATGATTGATCTCTCCAAGGAGTGTATCTACCTATTGTAAATGTTTTATCTGCCTTGTTTTTTGTTTGGTTGGAAGTCACAGGAGTGGGTTCAATTCCAGACCTGAAGGGCAGCTAGGGGCCAGTGTCTCAGGGGTTCCACCAGGCTATATCAGACCAACAAACCTGATCTTTTTTTTTTTTTAATGATTTTGAGTTTTGTTCCATATTGTTCTCCCACTCTATCCAGTATCTCCTACACAGATCTCCTTCTGAGTGGTTGACAGTGGTAGCTGGGCACCATCTAGTTCTTCTGGTCTATAGTTGTATAGGCTGAGGGATCGCATGGTGTACCAGTTGCTTGGACTAATTGTTTCCATGTGTCTTTGGTTTTCTTTATTATTATTTGCTCTGGATGAGGAGAGGCCCATCATTGCCTCTGTATGGCCGCTTGCAAGCTTTTAAGATCCCAGTCACTACTCGCCAAAGTAGGATGTGGAACAATGTTTTTGTGTAGTATGTTATGCCCATTGACCTTGATGTCTCCTGAGACTGTGGTCTAGAGCCTACAAGTCCAACTACTCGCTCCCTCTGGGTAGCTGGCTGTGGCCAAGAAGTGACTACAACCTTGTCCCTTGTCAGCTCTATTATATACCTGGGAATTCTTAAAGATCATACAAATACCCTTATAGAAACATTGTTGGCAGACCTTGTACATGGTCTTGGGCACACTCCCCCCTGTGTAACAAAACCACACTCACTGCCATCGAGTTGATCCTGACTCATAGTGACCCCTCCTTGGGTTTCCAAGGCAGTATCACTATGGAAGTAAATTATCCCATCTTCCTTCTGAGGAGTGGCTGGTGGGTTTGAACCCCCAACCTTCTGGTTAGCAGTTAGGTGCCTTAGGCACTACACCCACCAGTTCACCCTGTCCACCCATCTGTCCACCCGTACTTACTTCCATACTTTCTTGACATCTTCCCCTTTCTTTTCATTCTCACTAGTGCTTCAGTTCAGACTTTTCATTATCCCTTACCGTCTCTGGGCTTGCTGGCCCTAAAACCTCCAGTTCATCTTTCACACTGCTCTTGTAGAATCTTTCTAAATTTTGAAACTCAAAACTACTGTGACTGTGTTATCTGAGGATGAAGAACGGGCTCATTAGTTGGCAAAGGGGTCCTGCATGACCTTGCGCTGTCCGCCTTTCCCACAGCTACACCCTTCCCACACCCTGTTACTTGCTCTCCTTTTTTTATGCTGTGGTTTTAGTATCTTCTGAGTGCCTTGCTGTTTTGTGCTGCTCTGCTGTGGCTCACACTGCTTTCTCTCCCTGTGATACTCTCACCACTTCACTACCACTTTTTCACCTGTTGATTACTTTCTCATAAGATGCATCTCATAGTTTCCTGATCCAAATACGTAAAGTTGACCACTTTTTCTACGTGGCAGTGTTGTTGTTGTAGATGCCATTGAGTTGGTTCCAGCTCATAGCGGCCCTATGTACAATGGAACGAAACACTGCCCGGTCCTGCGGCATTCTCACAATCGTTGCTGTGTTTGAACCCATAGTTGCAGCCACTGTGTCAGTCCATCTGTTACAGGTTTTAGTCTTTTTTGCTGACCCTTTACTTTACCCATCATGATGTCCTTCTTCAAGGACTGGCGTCTCCTGATAACATGACCAAAGCATGTGAGTGACGAAGCTTTGCCATCCTCACTTCTACAGCATTCTGGCTGTGTTTTCGTCATTTTTCTGGAGTCTGTGGTATGTATTAGATACTCTTCATCAACACCGCGATTCAGATGCAGTCCTTCTTCACTCTTTCTTACTGTCCAGCTTTTGCATGCATATAAGGCCATTGAAGATACCATGGCTCAGGTCAGGCATGTCTTAGTCTTCAAGGTGACATCTTTGCTCTTTAACACTTTAAAAAAGTCTTTTGCAGCATATTTATCCAATGCAATATGTTGTTTAATTTTTCTAAAAAAATTTTTTATTGTGATTTGGGTGAAATTTTACAGAACAAATTCATTTTCCATGCAGCAGTTCATGCACATTTTGTTTCATGACATTGACTGCATTCCCTGTAGTGTAACAGCTCTTTTCCCACTTCCTCCCTGTAGTTACCTTTTTTCTAGTGCACTTTCGTATGCATTCCTGCAACAATTTTTGAATTGTTTTCAGCAAAATTTTACTTGTGTGTGATATTAATAATAATACTTAATAATTTCTGCATTCTGTTGAATCACCTTTCTTTGGAAAGGGCATAAATACGAATCTCTTCCAGTCAGTTGGCCAGGTAGCTGTCTTCCAAATTCCTTAGCATAGATGGATAAGCACTTCAAAATTGCATTCATTTGTTGAAACATCTCAATTGGTATTCCATAAATTCCTGGAGCATTGTTTTTGACAATGCCTTCAGTGCAGCTTGGACTTCATCCTTAAATACCATTGGTTCTTGATCATATGCTACCTCCTGAAATGGCTGAACATCGACCAATTATTTTTGGTGCAGTGATTCTGTATTTTTTTCCATCTTCTTTTGATGCTTCCTGCATTGTTCAAGGCTTTAATTTTTATTTTTTTAGTTCTTTCAGCTTGAGAAATGCTGGACATGTTCCATTGGGTTTTCTAACTTCAAGTCTTTGCTTATTTCATTATAGTTCTTTACTTTGTCTTCTCAAGCTATCCTTTGAAATCTTCTTTTCAACTCTTTTACTTCTTCATTTCTTCCATTTGCTGCTTTAACTACTCTATGTTCAAGGGCAAATTTCAGAGTCTCTTCTGACATCCATTTTGCTCATTTCTTTCTTTCCTATCTTTTCAATGACGCTTTTACTTTCTTCATGTATGTCGTCCTTCATGTCATCCCACAGCTCTCTTGATCTTCATTCACTGGTGTTCAGTGTGTCCAGTCTATGCTTGAGATGGTTTCTAAATTCAGGTGTGATGTTCTCAAGGTTGTATTTTGGCTCTTCTGAACTTGTTTTAATTTCTTCAGCTTCAGATTGAACTTGCATGTGAGCAGTTGATTGTTCTACAGTCAGCCCCAGCCTTATTCTGCATTGTCTCTTACCACAGATATAGTTGATTTTATTCCTTTATATTCCTTCTAGTGGAGTCCACATGTATAGTCACTGTTTATGTTGTTTAAGAAAGGAATTTGTGCAAAATTCTATCATGGGATTTCCAGCATCATTTCTATGACTAAGACCATATTTTCCAATTCCTGATGCTGCTGCTTTGTTGCCAGCCTTCACATTCTAATCACCGGTAATTACCACTGCATCTTGATTGCATCTGTGATCAGTTTCAGACTGCAGAAGTTGGGAAAGATCTTCAGTTTCTTCATTTTTGGCTTTAGGGTTTGGTGCGTAAATTTGAGTAATACTTAGAATATAACCAAGGTCGTATTTTTGCCTCTCGCGGACTTGTTTTAATTTTGTTCAACTTGAACTTGCATATGAGCAATTGATGGTTTATACCACAGTCAACTCCTGGCCTTGTTCTAAGTGACAATACTGAGCTTTGCTATTGGCTCTTTCCACACATGTAGTTGATTTTATTCTGTGTATTCCATCTGACAAAGTCCATGTGTATAGTCGCCATTTATGTTGTTCAACAAAGGTATTTGCAATGAGTAAGTTTTTGGTGTGGCAAAATTCTATCATGCAGTATACTACATAATTTCATTCATCAAGGCCATATTTTCCAACTACCTGTACTTCTTTGTTCCATCTTTTGCATTCCAATCACCACTGCATGTTTGGTCAATTTCAGGCAGCAGAGTTAGTGAAAATCTTCAGTTTCTTCATCTGTGGCTTGGTGGTTGGTGCGTAAATTCGAATAATAGTGGTATTAACTGGTCTTCCTTGTAGGTATGTGGATATTTTCCTGTCACTGATAACACTGTACTTCAGGAGAGATCTTGAAATGTCTTTGTGTATCCCTTTGAAATTTAAACCTGTGTCAATTTTAGAATCAATGACATTGTATTGTACTTCTTCTCTTTCCTCTGTTACACTCTAAACTCCTTGAGTACAATTCTTAGCTACCCTCAACTGGATGGTGATCCCATGCCAGGTCCAGCATCATCCCCATGCATCACTTCTTGTTGTCAGTAGGATTTTAATTGACAGATTTAGGCTGCTGAAACCTGTTCAGCATCACAGCAGCATGCAAACTTGCACTGATAGAAAGATGGTGACTGCATATGAGATGCATTGCTAGGAATGGAACTAGGGTCTCCTACATGGAAGTGGAGAAATCGACTACTGAACAACCACCACCCTCTTTAAGTGCACAGACTTTGTTCTTTCTCTTCCCAGTATTTAGCCCATTGTTGTTGCCAGCAAGTTGAATCCAGACATTTGATTTATTTACATTTACTAAATACACTAATTCTGGCTTCTCAACTTTTTTCTAAGTGACCTAGGCAAGTTACTTAACCTTTCTGAGCTTCAGTTACTTCAACTATAAACTTCATTGTAGTGAATGAAGCACCAGGCTTATGCTCTGCTAGAATTACAAAGTTTTATTGAAGGAATGAAAACATTTCACGAAAGGAAAGGCCTATCAGTGTTCAGGTAGAGTAGGGTAGTGTGCTCTAAGTTGCAGAAAGAGAGCAGTTTTTATTAGATCAAAAGCAGGCATGAAAGGGGAGAAGCATTGCAGAATTTACAAAGGATTTTTAAAATACAAACTTAAACATTTTCATAATGTCTGTGAGCCTATTTGTCACATTTTGAGATTGTCACATCCTGAGAGTTGTTGAACAGAACATGCTACCTTGAATTAATTTTCTATAACCCCTGCAGTCTTTCTCTCCTTTTGTCTTAAACCATACTCACTGCCATCAAGTCAATTCCAAATCATAGCGACCTCTTTTGGGTTTCTGAGGTGGTAAATCTTTACGGAAGTAGATTGCCTAGTCTTCTATCCGTGGAGTGGCCTGGGTTTGAACTGCCCACCTTCTGGTTAGCAGTCAAATGCCTTAGGCCCTATGCCACCAGAGCTGTTTCCCTTTGTCTTAGGGTAACACATTTAGTCTCTTAGTTGTTGTTCTTAGGTGCTGTTGACTCATCTCCGACTCGTAGCGACCCTACACACAGCAGAATGAAACACTGCCCTGTCCTGTGCCAGCCTCACGATCCTTGCTATACCTGAGCCCATCGTTGTAGCCACTGTGTCAGTCCATCTCGTTGAGGACCTTCTATTTTTCATTAACCCTCCACTTTACCAAGCATGATGTCCTTCTCCAGGGTATGGTTCCTTCTGATAACATGATCAAAGTACGTGAGATGAAGTCTTGCCATTCTCACTTCCAAGGAGCATCCCAGTTGCACTTCTTCCAGGACAGATTTGTTAGCCCTTTTAGCAGCCCATGGTACTCTTAGCATTCTTCTGCACCACCACAACTCAAAAAGCATCAATTCTTCTTCAGTCTTCCTTATTGTCCAGCTCTAACAATGCATAAGAGGCAAATGAAAATACTATGGCTTGGATTAGGTGCACCTTAGTCTTCAAGGAGACATCTTTGCTCTTCATCACTTGAAAAAGGTCTTTTGCAACTGGTTTGTCCAGTGCAATATGTCATCTGATGTTTTGACTTCTGCTTCTATTGGTGTCAATTGTAAAACCAAGTAATCTGAGGTCTTTGACAACTTCAGTCTTTTCTCTATCCATTGTGAAGCTGTTTGTTGGACCAGTTGTGAGGATTTTTGTTTATCTTGTGGATTTTTGTTTATCTTGTGGAGGGTCTGCTCCTTTTTTGCTGACCCTCCACTTTACCAAGTATGATACCCTTTTTTAGGGAATGGTCCCTTCTGACAATGTGACCAAAATAGGTGAGACAAAGTTTGGCCATTCTTGCTTCCAAGGAGCATTTCAGCTGCACTTCTTCCAGGACAGAGTTGTTCGTTCTTCTGGCAGTCCATGATATTTTCGTTATTTTTCACTAACACCACAACTCAAAAGCAACAACTTTTCTTCAGATATGAGGCTACTGAAAATATTATGGCTTGGATTAGGCACACCTTAGTCCTTAAAGTGACATCGTTGCTCTTCAGCACTTTTAAGAGGTCTTTTGCAGCAGATTTGCCCAGTGCAGTATGACATCTGATTTCTTGAGTTCTGCTTCAATGTTTTTATCTAATGTCATTTTTCTGTTCCAGGATCTATTATATTTCATATTACATTTAGTCATCATGTCTCCTTAGGCTCTTCCTGGCTCTGGTAGTTCCTCAGTATATCTTTTTGGAGACACTGCCAGATTAATTTTTGAATTTAAAAAAATCCCATGAAAATTTTGATTGGAATTGCTTTAAACCTAAACTTAATTTTATCCATTTATTGATTTGACAATCACAAATACCTTGTATTTATGCATCTCCTAGTAGGTAGCTAGTTGTCAGTTCTAATCAACAGTTTCACTTTAAATCCAAATCCAGCCTTTGGTAGTAGTAGACCCTAGATTCAAGTTTGAGAAAACCACTTCACTAGTAATTTTTTAAGATATGCTGTCCAAAGAGGTTTTGTTTAATAGTTTCTTCTTGGGAATGACAGTGTAGCTAAGAATCCTTGAAGCACCTTCGATTCGAGGTTCTTACATTTCTTTGGATTTTTATCAATTCATTTAGAAAAGTTTAAACAACTCTGATGTGTAGTCCTTTAAAGTACACCTGGCTTCCCAGCCCTCCCCTGCTTGGTTACCACAAAGTTACTCCTCCTTTGTAGGTTAGAAACGTCCATCAACTCTCTCCTGGTGTGTCTGCCTCTGGCTATTTTGTTTGGAACGCTGTCCTTCTATTTCTGGCCTTTTTCTCTTTTTTGTTTTGAATTTTTGAAAATTTTCTTTTGCTATTTTTTTCCTTTTTCGCTTTCTGCAATCTGCTGAGTTTTAGAATCCTGATTGTTGTAAGTTGACTCTTCTGGGTCTGTTCTTCAATTACATATGATATTTGTAACATTTATTTAATTTGCATAGCATTCTGTTCGCAGGGGTATTTCACAAGTTTATTTTCCTCTCTGGTTGCGATGTCTGCACTTTTCTTAATTCTTGGTTTCATTGAACTGAACTTGCTTTTATCTTTAGCTATTCTTATTTTTGGACATTTAAAAATGAATTTTCTTTTTAACTCTTTTTGGTTTGCTTTTCTTTTATGTTGCAAAGTGCTTTTCTTGGTTGTAGATTCTTTTTTTTTTTTGTTAATTAATTCTTCCTTAATGTTAATGAACTTAAATTTGCTGGCATTGAAAACATTTAATTATATGTTATTTTATTGGTATTTTAATGACATTTGAAAGAAAGAACTTCCTGGCTGTACAGCTGTCCTCTTTTATCTTTCAAAAGTTCCATGCTGCCTTACCTGAACTTGCTTTATGTAATGCCTGGCCATTACTGTGTGCAAATAGATGACTGAAAGTTATTTGACAATGGTATTTTTCTCCTGTTTTAGGGTCTTCATTGTGACTTTGCTTGCCTGATATTTCAGTACTTAGTAAATAAGCCTTCAGAAGAAAGGGTTAGAGAGATCATTGTTAATGCTGTCAAAATTGAGCAGGTAAGTAGGGAACCTTAGGCGATGAGCACATAGCTTTATGTTTGGGTTGGCTGTTTTGTAGGTAAAACAAAAATTGGCAGTTTTTATGATTCAATCAATACCAATTATTACAATTGAAATTTGGTTTATAATTTGTTTTTTAAGTCAGTCTTTATTAGGAGGTGGTCTGGTGGCATAGTGCCTAAGGCATTTGACTGCTAACTAGAAGTCTGGTGATTGAAACCCACCAGCCACTCCTCGGAAGGAAGGTTGGGCATTCCATAGTGATACCGCCTTGAAACCCAAGGAGGGGTGCTATGAGTCGGGACGGACTCGATGGCAGTGAGTTTAGTTTGGTTTGGTTTTTATGTTTTTAAAGTTTTAGCCCTGGAGGGCAGGGATAGAGTCATGTTTGTTCTGTATTCTTAGTAATAGAGCAGGGTGTGAAACATGTACCAGATACTTATGGAATGAATAAATAAATGAATTTGTGAATAGTAAAACTTAATTTTTAGTATGTGAAGATGCCTGGCTAGAAAGACTTGGATATTCCACTTAGGCGTATTTTTATCAATCTAAAGAATAATTTAAAGAAACAAACCAGTTACCATCTACTGGATTCCAACTCATGGTGACTCTGTGATGTTAAAGTAGAATTATGCCCTATAGGCTTTGTAATGGGTGGTTTTTCCAGAAGTAGATTGCCAAGATTTCTTCTGAGGTGCCTCTTGGTGACCTTGAACCACCAGTCTTTCAGTTAACCGTTACTCACTGCCATCAAGTTAGATTCGACTCATAGTGACCCCTCCTTGGGTTTCCTAGGCAGCATTACTAGGGAAGTAGATTGAACCTCGAGCCTTCTGGTTAGCAGTCAAATGCCTTAGGCACTGTGCCATCAGAGCTCACTCAGTTTACCATTAACATCTCCCATTGACTCCAGTTTTCGTACTGGGAGGGGGAAAGGGATGAAATGCATTTTGGTGTCTTTAATCATTTTGAGAACTAAATCTGAGTGGTTAATATGTTAATACTTGATCACTGTCTTTCAGTTCAGTTGGAGTTCAGTTTATCTCCTACCCCCATTTCTATTTTTGTCTCATGCTTTGTTAATTGAGTTTTCTCTCTTTCCCAGCTCTCTTCCTTAGTCATATGCCCCCTGGCAACCATCTTTAGTGATTCTAAATTAGAATGTACACCAAGGTAAATCTTTTCTCTAGATATTTCAGAACAAAGCATCTCTTTTTTCTCCGTTGAGAAATAGAGTGAATTAAGGCTTTACTTGTGCAGCTTGTTTAAATACCAGTAGTTAGTAAATTTCAAATTACTTTGGCCCTTTGAGAATGTGAAAAAATGTGAATTGTAACACCACAAACATTTATAAACAATTGAGTATCATTTGCCATGCTGAAAAAATTTATACTAGTATAATTTCCTTGAATAAAATCAGTACCCTAGAAAATTAAAACTTAAAACCTCTTTCTGCTTGGAAAATACTCACTCATTTATTGTCTATCTTTATATTTTATTCTGTATTGTTTACATTTCAGGAGTTTTTAACAGAAGCCTTGCCAGTTGGCCTCATTGGAATGAACTGTGTTTTGATGAAACAATACATTGAGTTTGTAGCAGACAGATTACTTGTGGAACTTGGATTCTCAAAGGTATCAAGCTAAAAAATATTATTACTAACTAAAATGTCATAGTAAGGAAGGCCTTTAAAATATTATATTTCACCAAAAGCATTGGTAACATACGGGTGGTGGTGCAGTGGCTAAAGCATTCAGTTGCTAACCAAAAGGTCCACAGTTTGAACACACCAGCCACTCCCCTGGAGAAAGATGAGGCAGTCTCCTTCTATAAAGATTTGCAGCCTTGGAAACCCTATGGGGCAGTTGTGCTCTGTCCTGTAGGGTCGCTATGAGCTGGAATCAACTCAGTGGCACTGGGGTTTGTAGTTTGTAGATTTTACTTTCTAAATATCAGTGACAGGGTTTTGTTTTACATGAATGAATTCATTTTGCAAAGTCCTTTGAAACTCAAGATGAAATTTTAATGGAAGTCAAAACCAAAAACAAAACTCACTGCCATCAAGTCTGATCCAACTCATAGCAACCCCTCCTTGGGTTTCTGAGGTGATATCATTATGGAAGTGGATTGCTCAACTTTCCTTCTGAGGAGTGGCTGGTGGGTTTGAACCATCAGCCTTGAACCTCCAGCCTTCTGGTTAGCAGTCAGATGCCTTAGGCACTGTGCCACCAGAGCTCTATGAGGCAGTTCTACTCTGTCCTGTGGGATTGCTATGAGTCAGAATTGACTTGATGGCAAGGGTATTTTTTCGTTATTTAGTAAGATTATCTTCAGGTAATTTGATATAGCTTGCAGATATATGTTTATTGTCATATAAATCCCCCATGTGTCTGTATTGTAATTCTGGAATTAATATTTAAATAAGGTATAGTCATTAGGAACACATTAACTATCGTAATTTTACTCTTTGAACTCGGTCATCTTTAAGTTCTTTTATTTTGTCTATCAGAGGTAATATACCTGCAAAAACGGCAAGGAGGCCACATGTTATGACCTCCTCTAATCCCACAAGATGAAGACAGAATCATCATCAATAGCCCAAGGCCTATTCCTGCCAGGCCAGGCATGCTGCCTCCCTCTAGCCCTTTCTCCAACCGTTCCTCCCAAAGTACCCACCACCTCTCTCCTGGGTTCGATAATTCGCTGCAGTGGCCACACAGAGCTCACAGATTATGGGGTTTATTAGGGAAGCACCACAGGCTACAATTCAAGTTCAGGGAAAATGCTCAGTCTCTCTCCCAGCCCACCGTCCCTCAGCCAACAGTCTCTCACAGTCTCTTTCCCAGCAGTGCTGCTCCCTCGGTGTCTCACTCAGCAATGCGTGTCTCTTGCGTCTCTTTCCCAGCAGTGCATGTCTCAGGAGCACGTGTCTCTTTCAGTAGCATGTCTTCCTCAACCAGCAGTCAGAGAGAGTTCTGCCTCTAGGAGGCCTCCTTTTGAGCTTGGCAGAGTGACCAAACCAACCAATCATAACAACAGAATTCTAAGCACCTGAGAGTGAGCCTCCCATAACATTGCATTGTGCCATGCCCAACAGAAATAACCTCAGTGGATAACATTTACAATCAGGAGCTCATTTGCTCATTCCACCACTGAGTTTACAATGACTTATGGGTAGAAAAGCCATACTAAGTAATTTACTACACTGCAATACCTGAATATGATAAAGAGCTGCAGTTTTCACATGATTTAAGAGATAGAGCCTACAACCAGACTACCTGGATTTGAGTCCTGATTCCACTACTTTCTAGCTGTGTGATGCTGGGCAAGTTGCCTTAACTTCTGTCTTGGTTTTCTGATCTATAAAATGGAAACAATAATACTTAGCACAAATGATTGTTGATAAGTTTTTATACTTAAGCTCTTAAAGTGCTACTAGACATGTAGTAAATGCACACTAAATGAATACATTGTACTCAATGTAAGTGGAATATTTATAAAATTTATTGTGTATTATACCATGGTAATTAGAAATTATCGGTTATCATTTTTTAGCAAGTAAATGCATGTTTAAATTGTATTGAGAAGCCTTATGAAATCCATGATGTTGGGGTGATCATTACCGTTCTTGGTAAACCATTTATGTTCTCAAAACCACAAAGTGCAATAGGTTTTTTTTTTTAGTAAGATTAAACTCTATTTTATTGTTTTAGTAGTAAGATTTTCTCAATGTTTACTGATAATTAATGAGAGAAATAAAAATTATAATTATGTTAATATAATTTCTAAAACTTAAAAACTATGCATATTAAACTAAATAATGATATTTCTTCACAAGTTTTACAAAGCTGTTTGTTATAGGAAAATTAATTTGCTTACATAAGCTTTAAAGTGAACTCACTGACCTTTAACCTCCCACCATATCCCAGAGCCACACATCCTTGCTCTCTTGTTTATTAGACAACTTCTGACCTCTGGGTCTAGTTTTACCTTTGTGAGCTTGCTAACTGTTGTTGTTGTTGTTATGTGCCATCACGTCAGGGCCGACTCATAGCGACCCCTCCTTGGGTTTCCAAGACAAGATCACTACAGAAGTAGATATGTAAAATCTAAACACAGCGTAAAACCTTTTTCCACAGTCTTCTAAAATACCTCAGTAAATTCCAAACAGCAAATTATACAGTGCTCTTATTTTAATACAATGAAACTAAAATGTAACAACAAAAGATTACCAAAATGTTCCATCCATTTAGAAATTGAAAATTTATCCTTTAAAGTGAGGAGATTAAAATGAAGGTATACACTAATTGGGAGTAAATGACAATAAGATTACTGTATATCTAAACTTGGAGAATACTGTCAAAGAGGTCCTCATATGAAAAATTATAGGCTTGAATATATAAAGGAAACAACAATTTAAAATAAATGAACTAAACTTTGAACTCAAGGAGCTGGAAAAAGAACTATTCTTATAATGACGGTTTTTGGTAACTGTTGTTGTTGCCAGACTCCAAACTCACTGCCATCAAGTTGATTCTAACTCATTGCGACCCCCATTGGGTATCTGAGATGGTAAATCTATACAGAAGTAGATTGCCCTATCTTCCTTCCATGGAGCTGCTGGTGGGTTTGAACCACCAACCTTCTGGTTAGCAGTCAAATGCCTTAGGCACTGCCCCACCATAGCTTCTTTGGTAAAATAAGGGAATTATTTAAACTAGCAAATGGTTGTCATTTATACAAAAATTTAAATAGGAGCCCCATCAATGATGATATCAATTTCTATTTTAGTTTAGTTTAAGTAAATAAATATTTGAGTACTTCCTATGGGTCAAGAACAACCCACTTAATTTAGTGTGGTTTTAGTTACTCTGTCCATGAATAATTTATCAGACTTTTTTGAAAGGTCCCCATTTCTGAAACTCAGTGACTTCATGGGTATCAATCTAGTGCTCTGTTCTGGTTACCTCGTGCTGCTCTGACAAGAATATACCACTAATAGGATGGCTGAACAGACAGGAGTTTCTTCTCTTACAGTTCGGAGGCTTTAAGTCTGAGTTCAAAGTTCCAGGCTCTAGGGGCTGTGTGAAAGTCCCACTACCTTGGGCTTCAACTTTGCCTCTTGCTCCCAGCCCACTGAAGCTAGAGGCATCTCTTCACTCAGGCAGCTACTGGCTGCTGAGGCTAACAGGCCCAAGGTTGACAAATAAAATGGCACAGTCCTGATGTTACCAAACCACATGGCAGGCCATTGGTTCAAGTCCATTGAAAGTCCCAAGGTTGGCAGAGCATGGAAGAAGACTGCTGAACAATGACACAGCTACACTCAGGGTTCAAGCATGCTGTAAGCTAGAGACCATTCCCAAAGCTGTTTCTTATATACGGTAAGCAGACCACATACCCAAAGGCAGCTACTCAGCTGCTCACAGTAGATTTCGCCATGGAGTTGATTACCAGTCTCATCATGGGGAATACTGCATTCAGCTGCCCAGCTACTCAGCCAGGCCCAGCAAAGTTGACACACAAATGTAACTACCACATGCTCTTTCCACCATATTCTGCTGTTCATTGTAGTTCGACTTTTAACTCACTCTCAACACACAGTTTTTGGCAGGCAATTCCATAGAATTTCACAACTCAGCTACATATAGCATTTGTTTGATTTTTTTTTTTTTAAAGTTATATATATACATGGAGCTTTGGTGGTTCAGTGCCGAAGGCATTTGACTGCTGAGGAGGTTGGGGGTTCAAACCTACCAGCTGCTCTGCAGAAGGAAGATGGGGCAGTCTACTTCCTTAAAAATTTACTGCCTTGGAAACCCAATGGGAGTCCTTGTGAGTTGGAATTGACTCAATGGCAATGAGTTTGGTATATGTGTGTGTGTGTGTGTGTGTATAAAAGCTTTATTAAGATACAATTCAGGTTGCATACAATTCACTCATTTAAAGTGTACAATTCAGTGGTTCTTAGGATATTGTGGTGCAACCATCACTACAATCTATTTTAGAATATTTTCAGCACTCTAACATGAAACCTTTTACCCAGCAGCAGTCATTCCTCTTCTCCGCAGTTATGCTGTTGATGTTGTTAGTTGCTGTAGAGTTGGCTCTGACTCACGCGACCTGATGTGTCACAGAACCAAGCATGTCTGCTCCTATGCTGTCTTCATGATTGTTTTATTTTTTAGTCCATCATTGTGACTGTTGTGCCAATCTCACTGCGAGTTTCCCTCATTTTTTCTGACCTGACTTTACCAATCATGATGTCCTTTTCTGGTGCTTAGTTTTCCTGATGAGGTGTCCAAAGGAAGTGAGCCAAAGACTCACCATCCCTACTTCTAAGGAGCATTTTGGTTGTTAATAGTTGTCATCAAGTCAACTCCGACTCATGATAGCCTTTATATACAGCAGAGCAAAACATTGCCTGGTCCTGTGCCATCTCCATGATTCTATCTCTAAATTTGCCTATTCTAGACATTTCAAAAAAAATAGAATCATACTGTGTGGTCGTTTATGACTGGTTTCTCTCCCTTAACGAACGTGTATCAGTGCTTCATTCCTTTTTATGACTAAATACTATTCTATTGTATGGGATATACCACATTTTGTTTATCCATTCATCAACTGTTGAAAATTTGGGTTGTTTCCACTATTTGCCTATTTGAGTAATGCTTCTATGAACATTCATGTGTAAGTTTTTATATGGACATGTGTTTGTTTCTTTTAGGCAAATACTTAGAAGTAGAATTGCTGGGCCATATGGTAACTCTTTGTTTAACATTTTGAGGAACTGTCAGACTTTTCTAAAGCAGAGTGCACTATTTTACAGTCCTGCCACCAGTGTGTGAGGATTCCAGTTTCTCCACATTTCATAACACCTCTTCCTTACCTTTTTTGTTATATCCATCCTAGTTGGTAGGAGGGAGCTCTGGTAGCATAGTGCTTAAGGCACTTGACTGCTAACCAGAGGACTGGTGGTTGAAACCCACCAGCTACTCCTCGGAGGGAAGACTCTGGGCGATCTACTTCCATAGTGATATCGCCTCGGAAACCCAAGGAGGGTCACTAGGAGTTGGAATCGACTCGACGGCAGTGAATTTGGTTTTGGTTTTAGCTGGTATGAAGTGATATCTCATTGTGGTCTTGATTTGCATTTCTTTGTTGACCAGTGATGTTGAACATCTTTCCATGTGCTTATTGGTCATTTGGTATTTATTTTTTGGAAAAATGTCTATTTGGATCCTTTACCCATGTT